CATCCGCGGACATAAACTAGATTGCAGCGAGTTTACGTATGCCTGTATAGACGGACGCCAATAGTCTTTTGTGGCTGCGTCGCTGCTTGTTGGTGTGAGTCGATCTACCATGTGCGCGCTGTAATGAAATCGAGATAGACTAGTCTAAGAAAATACTAGTATATAATACTTATATAGTATTATAGATTATATACTATAGACTATATACTATAGATTATATACTATCGACTATCTACTCTAGACTTTATACTATAGACTATATACTATAGACTATATACTATAGACTATATACTATGACTATATACTATAGACTATATACTAAACTAGACTTAATAACTATAGTATAACTATATACTAATATACTATAGACTATATACTATATACTAATATACTTATTAGCTATATACTATAGACTATATACTATAGACTATATACTATAGACTATATACTATAGACTATAATACTATAACTATGACTATATACTATAGAACTATATACTATAGAACTATATACTATATACGATAAACTATAGTAGTATACTATAGTATAGTATATAATCATCGTACAGAGACGAGGTTGGCAAGTAAGACACCGTGCACACACGGCGGCGTATACAAACGTCGTACCAATTCCTATTTCACAACGTCTTATGCCGTTTGTATGTTCTTTAATTTTGTCGGCCATGCTAACTCGTAGCGCGAGAACTGGTCTGTTCATGCAGCTTAGCACATAAAACCACTCATAGACGGGTCGCTAGCTCTTAGCGCATAGCTCCCCGTTTAGGGGCCACCTGCGCCTGCGTTCATACGAATATACTAACTAACCTTCATCAGACCGCACGTTCCCAGCCGTTTCTACATATCCACTAATTTCCACCATTTAACTACCAACTGCAACAACCAAATCGACCGATTTCAGCAATCTCAGCCAATCTTCCTATTTAAAAATTTCAGTTTGGCAATAAAAATTTAATATATATTAATGTATAAATATTAATATATAATTCGTATTTTTGTAAGTACATAGGCGGCTCTTATACAAAATGAAATGATATGTAAATGGCATTTCTTTTCTGCATTTGATTTGATTATGCTTTGAAACCCTACCCACGTTTTTAAACATAAAATATGCCTCGTTGCCTGCTACGTCTAAGCTCGTGCATTTCAGGAACGCATAAATATTTTCACAGTAAAGTTATATTTTATAGATGATGTGTGCGGGCTTCGTTTGTGTGTGTGTGTGTGTGTGTGTGTGAATTTTGAATCTTGAAATGAATCTTGTGTATGTGTGTGTGTGTGCGTGCGTGCGTGCGTGCGGTGCGTGCGTGCGTGCGTGCGTGCCTATAGTGTCTGTGTACCTTTCTGCGTGCGTGCGTGCGTGCGTGCGTGTGCGGCGTGCCTGCGTATGCGTGCGTGCGTGTGCGTGCGTGCATGCATTCCCTGCCTGCCTACCTGCGCCCTTGTTGGTGTGTGTGCGTGCGAGCATGAGTGTGTTCGCGTGTAAGCATTATGCAGTGTAAACAGTTTTCACAGTAACGTTTTCCTTATACACGTATTAGATCTGCTATGCAATGATAGCGCACTGCAATGTAAAGATTAGTGGGAATGTGCATCGAGAAAGTGCCTGGTGTGATTTCAAGATCGGATTGTCTGGATGGTACCGACGAGACGGACTGTGGTGAGATATAATATATGAAACCAATCCAAAATTGTCACGGTATGATATTTACAGTGCCCAGAGAGGCTGTAATTTCGCAAAACATAGGCCAGCTCATCACTCCTGTGAGCTTCAATACATCACCATAAGAATAAAATAACTGTTATAACAATAATAACATTCAATAGATATAAATAATAATATAAATATAAAAAGATATATCAATAGGGTTATTAATAATACTATCCATAACACATAACAATAATAAAGTAATATAAATATATATAAAATCGTTGTCCAATAGTGATCGACAGAGAGTTGACGCCAGGTTAATTACGCCGCCATTTTTAGACCCACTGCCGCCCATGTTTGAGTAGATGAATTCCGATGTGACAGTGGTCAATGTTATACAGCAGCGAGTACAGAATGTGATACTACTACAAGACTGTACAACGCCAGCGACGAAGGACCTGACTGCGGTATGCACGCAGACGTAGACACACACACACTCTCTTTCTCTCTCTCACACACACACACACACACACACACACACACACACACACACACACACACACACATACTAAATTAATATAAAAAATACAAAAGAATCTACTTTATTCCTAAGAGCCGCATTTCCCGTACAAGTTTAATATCGATTTTCGAATCAATCAATGTTGACGCAAGATGCTTTGTTGTCTAGAGACTTCTCCATTGACACATTATTGATTTGATACCATCAGTTCAATGACACGTTAGCGCTCAAAGTACACACGAGCAAAAAATTATAGCATGCTTTTTGCATTCGCTGTCGTATTGAACTACCACGGTATCTGTCACTCGCTTAACACGCCACCATCTTGTGAATACCTTAATATATTACGTTTAATTTAGCAGCGACATATAGTCACTAGCAATAATCACTATCATTGGATTCATTCGTGATTCGATACACAGTACCATCTGTGATACATTAATTTTTGTTTAGTGAACGAAATAAGTCACTGGCAAAAACCACTAGCATTGTGATACATTCCTGATTCGATAACACACTACCACATTGTGATACATTATATTACTTTATTTAGTAAACGAAATGTAGTCACTAGCAAAAATCAATTACATTGTTCATGCATTATTTTGTAATTCGTTGTAACTTCGCTGTAATTTAAGTAATTTGTGACTGGCTCTTATCTCGAAATGCAAGCGGTCGTTGCTCGTGCAAAACTGTGCATATATCTCCGCATTTACTGTTTAGCGTATCCGGAGCAGGAGTGTAACTGGACACCCGAGATGCGCTGTGCTAGCGGTCAGTGTGTGCCGATTACAAGCTGGTGTTTGAAGCTCCGAGACGCTTCCAAGAACCGGCTGCCGCGATAATTCTCACTTGACGAGTTGCAGTAAGTCCTAAACCGATTTCTTCGCCGTATTCAGTTATTAATCCCAAATATCAAAATTGAATTTACCAGCATAACTAGATGCAAATTTCGCAGACATTCTTTCCATATCCTCGCTCTATCTACGTTCTCGTTCTCACCATTCTTCTCTCTCGACTCTCTTCAATTCTCTCTCACTCGACGTCTGCCCTCTCTGCATCTATTCATCTCCGTCATACATTTCTCTGTCTGTCGCTTCACTCTCTCTCTTCTCCCTCTTTCTCTCCCTCTCTTACCTCTCTTTCTCGCTCTCTTGTGCGCGCTCTTTTCCCGATATATATATATATATATCGGGGTATCTGGTATATCAGGCTATATATATATATATATATATGGTGCGGATACAAACCTATTAATAAAGGTGAGATTAGATCACGTCATGAAGACAGAGTCATACATCATCCGTTTATCCGTCTTACTATGGCTAGAGGCTGCCGTACTCAATCTCAGTAAAATATCGTCTTCGATTTTTTGCCTCAACACAGAGATTCTACGTGAGAAAACATATACGATCAATATTACCGCTCGCTGGACGATTGGAGTCTTACATTACATCTTACACATTACTTACATTACATTACATTACATTACATTATATTACATTACATTACATTACATTACATTACATTACACTAAATTACATTACATTACATTACATTACATTACATTACACTAAATTACATTACATTACATTACATTACATTACATTACATTACATTACATTACATTACATTACATTACATTACATTACATTACATACATTACATTACATTACATTACATTACATTACATTACATTACATTACATTACATTACATTACATTACATTACATTACATTACATTACATTACATGGGAGTTTTACGTTACATACGTTATATAACGTTCATAGTAGAAATACAGCTCGAAAGACAATAGAAGGTAATTATACACTACAACTACACTACTAATTACACCAAAAATACAAGACCTGTATGCATAGTGCGTGTTGACAGGTGTTCCTACAATATTTACTCTCATGCCATCTTTTGGCATGGTATGGTATACAACTGTACTTACTGTATAACAAATCGTCTATACCCACACGTATTTGTTACCGGATACCTAATTTAATTGTTCTAATTAATTACACATCAACGCTACGAAATTTGAACGGCGCCATGACACCCGCGACCGTGCTGCCACCCCGAAAAAGTTGCGCATTTGACCATTTATTTTGCACGTTACAGACCCGAGGGCTAATCACAAAAGTGCAATTATATCTATACCTAAATGCTATTTAACCGGACAATATTCATTTTAGGGCAAATTTATCCATAATATAACTGAAACTATATGTCGTTTATAAGATATTACAATTCTTTTTCTTTTAAATGAATAAATAAGAAACACCCTCGGTCTGTAGCCCTTGGCTGGAAAGTGGTTTTGCGCAACTTATCAGATCGTGCGCTTTGAGTGGCGCCACCGTCGTTGTAATCAAACTGTAGTAGTTAGTTTTAAAACATTTTTTAAAAATATTTCTAATGGTGATTGAACCATGAAACTTCTTAGGTAGCGTAATTAAAACCTAAATTAGCTGAAAATAACCCTAGAAGCTAGAGTAAACTCTCCCTTTAAGTAATTAGGAAATTTCTCACTCGAAGACTTGATAGTCAATTAGTCTTCCATCGCACAATTCGATTTCACACACAGTTCCGCGAAAGCTGTAACATTCTAAGTACGTTGATACATTATTTTGGATTTGAATTTAGATTTGAATAACGTCATCCCACCCGCTACGAACGTGACGTAGGAGTAATTTGGTAGCCATTGAGAGGACCGTTACGTGTGTCTTTGCAAATTCTAATCGTCATGTCGGAGAATGCTGAAATATTATTATTATTCGAGTAACTTGTGTGTGTGTGTGGGCGCAGAGAACTGGACGTGTTCCGACGACCATCAGCTGAAGTGTAGAAACTACTACTGCATACCGGAGGCGTATCACTGCGACCAGAAGCCGGACTGTGAGGAGACGTGGACAGACGAGGACGGATGTCGTGAGTAAACACACCGCGATGACGCATCGTCCGTCCTAACGTCCGTAGAACTCCGTCGCTAGACGTTGAAATTGAAGCCAACACGGAAAGATGGAGTTAATTATTAACTTTATATAGATGTGCGACAGTATAGACCATAAACAGGCTAGACACGTATTTAATAAGAGTATCTGCTGGCCTTGCGCAGGTATGATTTTGGGAAAGAGAGGTTTGTTAATTTCGTTTAATATGACGTTATTGCGCTCCTCACACCGGACAACATCATGAGCTGCGCTGAGGTACATCGGTTTACACTAAAATGCAGCGTTGGGGGGGGTTCTATGTCCGCCGATGCAATGTCATTCTATTGCAGGCTAACGCGAAGGTTTTCGGTCGTATCCGCTCGAACAAGCTGTGTTTGTCTGTTGAAAAACCCAAGTAAAATTACAATTAGAAATTAATAATTTGTGCGCACAACTTTCCCGATGACGATATGGGTCCTCTACGACCGACTACCTACCTATTCGGTCCTAAAAACTACAACGTCAATGCCAATCTTTGCTATCGCAAATTCTTACGAATTCCTGATTATGCGATGCCCAAACGCATGCTATCATATACTGATGCACCTACATGACAGATTTTTTAATGAGAAGAGAAGAAATAGACAGCTGTTTTTTTCGCGAGGGTGAATGCTCTGCTAATAACCTAATGTTTTGACACGCCTCCGACGTGTGGCGTTTCACGGACAGCATCTTTGAGGGAATATGCCGACGTCATTTGCCGGTTTCTTTGATGATGCATAGACAAATTACACCTACAAACAATATTTCTTCCACTCTCTATTTTTTCATAAATTAACAATGTTAACAATAATTACTAATTAACACTAATTACGAAGAGAGTCACGAATTATCAGGACGTCACCCCTCGTTTCAAAGCACATATTTCCGCGCTGCCTGCTTACAGCATCGTGCTACTATTCCGACTATAATTACAATGATGACGAACTATATTTGCATATTTAAAATTCGTAGGAGCAGTTAAAGGCATCTTTGGCGCGTAAAGTTAGTCATTCCTTTTCCATATTTTCCAGCGTTCAACTGCATGATCCCGTCGCAGGAGGACTGCGTGTGTCAGGATGTGAAGATGGAATGCACCTACTTGAACATGACGAGTCTATCCGACGACATACACGACAATGTGAAAGCGAACAAACTGTCGCGACTGTAAGCCATTGCTACTTGTAGGTTGTGTGTCGACGCATATCGATGGCAGTCGTGTAGTTGAAATTATAGGCAATTGCGTACGAATAATTGGCGACACTTTTGCGTTCGCGTATAATGTCACACGTGTTATGCGTGCCTGCGCATGCCCTACGTGAAACGCCTGTTCATTCGGGAAGTTTCAGAGATGATCACGACATAGCCACGTTAGCTGTTGTTGTCAATTCGAAAGAGACAATAGCGAAGCGCAAAGAACTTCTCGCCCTTGATGGTTGACTAACGGTGGGTGTCTGCGCTTTCTTGCAGAAACTTCACGGGAAATCTTCTAGGCACTACGTTCAGCGCAACCACTCTCGATCCCTACATATCGTATGCCATCGTACATCTGTAAGTGCCCGCATACTTGCCTCGTTGTGCGTGCGTGAGTGGGCGCGTGCGTGTCTGTGCGGTAATGTGCGTACGTGAGTACGGAAGTGGGTTCCTGCGTGAGTGTACGTGCGTGAGTGAGTGGACGCGTGCGTGCGTGAGTGCGTGCCTGCGTGAGTGTACGTGCGTGAGTGAGTGGGCGCGTGCGTGAGTGAGTGGGCGCGTGCGTAAGTGAGTGGGCGCGTGCGTGCGTGAGTGAGTGCCTGCGTGTGTGTACGTGCGTGAGTGAGTGCATGTGCGTGAATGAGTGGGCGCGTGCGTGCGTGCGTGAGTGATTGGGCGCGTGCCTGTGTGAGTGCGTGCGTGCGTGAGTGTACCTGCGTGCGAGAGTGGACGCGCGCGTGCGCGCGTAAGCACGCGTTGCGTGCGTGCGTTATTGCGCGCATGCACGCGTCCGTGCGTGAGTGCGTGCCTGCGCGCGTGTGTGCGTGAGTGCGTTGCGGCCGCTGCCGCATTATTGCGCTTCTGCGATCGCAATAATGACGGCTATTACCTAATGATCGTGGTCAGCGCGACGGGGTGCACACGCGGGGCAACAATACGTAACTAGCGTACGTGTATTCTGTGCTTACAGCGATGTCAGCAACAACCTCGTTACTCGACTCGGATCTGGTTGGTTTATTCAGCTGAGCCACTTGCAGATTCTGTAAGTATGCGTAAGCAGACGGGCGTATGGCGGCTCGTTCTTCGTCCTAACGTAATTAAATAGATTAATAAATGAACGAATAAAGAAACTGTTTATATTATATATATTGTGTGTGTGCGCGTGCGTGTGTGTGCGTGTATGTGTGTGCGTGTGCGTGTGCGTACCTGCGCGCGTGCGTGCGCGCGTGCGTGCAAAATACAACACTGCGACCGCATATACCTGCACACCGTCGCGCGGTCGCGGCGTGGAGATGTCTGCTTGCCTTTGTTACGATACAGCCGATGCGCGACGGTGTGCGGCAGGCACCGTGACGAGCTGATGCTAGTCTCGTACACGGGCGAGCTGGAGAGATGCTCAAGTTAATTGCTGCACGAGAGTTGTCTCGCAGAAATTGCGCCCATTAAACGAAGACGACAACGACGACGATCGTTCCGTCTTGTTCGAAATTTTTTGAAGACGAGGCGAAACAAAAACGAGGCAGTGACTCGCAATTGTGCATCTAAGGAAGCGTAGAAGCACTTGAGACGGCTGCTGCTGCAGGCTGAGCTGGGGGAAAATGATGAGCCGACCGTGCGTCGTAGTTGCCGTGCGATGGCTCTGCTTCTGAACCGTGTATCTCCGCATTGGAATCGAATAACATCTTCCTATCCTGACCGTATAGATCAATACTTGGAAACAGTGTGGTATTATTTTGCTCCGGATTCCAACTTATAAATCGGGACGTATATTAGGGACGAATTTTTAATTTATCGCTTTTGTTCGAGCGAACAAAAAGTGATATTTATAATTGCGAAATGTTTGTGATTTATTATAGTTAATTAATAGCCTCAAAACAGCACGTTTACATGATCATGCTGATTAAGCGATTTCTATCCGATTAACATTGTTGAAATTATTTTCAATAAAACGAAAGAATGTAACTCTAACGAGATCCTCGAAAACAGGCAATTAGATCGGTGCTCATCTAGAATTCGCATATCCACGAGTTAAAACTTGTACAACTACTACTTGCCGCACGTTGCGCTCGAACCAGAACTTTAGAATAGCAATAGCAGACGGTCGATTACATGGCGAATTTCCAGTTACTAGAATTTAGCACACCCGAATGGCCCTTAAAGCTACCGTCGGCACGGTAGTTCGCGTAATAGTTAAATCTTACTTTACTACACCGTAACGACATCGGTCGACCACATAGAGCTCGGCTTGTAATGAGTTTTGAAACAGCGTGCATATCGTAACAATTGCAACGGTCATATTCGCACTAAATCTGCATAGGAGCCTATGCGTAATGATTAAATCTTGCTTTCCTTCAGGGTAACAACAGTCAGGCTAATTGCGGCATACGCTTACCGCATAGCTCGTACAACAGCCCGGAGTGTGTAAGGAGGGTTGAAACACTGTGCATATCGTTACAATTGCAACGATCATATTTACACTTAATCTGCATAAGCACGTCAAATGTTATGAAACAACCGTTGATATAACCAGCATGCGGTGTGTGCGTTTCAATCACTGATCGCTATATACTAACCCTTATAGTTATATACAGATCTCTCTCTCTCTCTCTCTCTCTCTCTCTCTCTCTCTCTCTCTCTCTCTCTATATAATAGTATATAATATATATATATATAGTATATATATAACTCTGTTAGTATATAATTAGAGATCAGTCGTTTATTGCGTTACTTTTGAATTACTAAGCGATATAATATTCTCGTTATTTTAGGGATTTGATGAGAACGAGCTGCTGCTATAGTCAACGGCACATTCAAAGGCTAGCAAGTCTCCGTGACCTGTAATGTGGGTGTGGCAGACGTCATCATTACGCATGCGTCGCACAAATAATCTTATTTCTCATTGTAAATAAAGTTATAATAATTAATATTATTTTAATTAATATTTTTACAATTATTATTGGATAATTGTAATAATTTCTGTGCGAAACCCATGATTATTTTTTCAAAGAAATAATCATGAATACATTAACGTCTTCTGCTCTCTATCAGTTTACATTATCGTGATTCTTGACACCTATACGATTGATATTTTGTCATTGACTGGTCATTAACCCGTGAGAAATAGTTCATTTTTGGATAATTTAGAGTGCCGAAGAACAGCTTACCATATTAAGGAAACGGGCGCAATCACCAATAATATAGTCACTGCATAACAAATAAATCTAGCGCGACTTAAAGCAAAACAATAATCTGCGCTATCTCCATAAGAGCGATAAATACAGCCGTCGTTTTATAGAGAAAAGGCGGCGTCTTTTGTCTTCTGTTTTTATATCTCTGGCGGCTAGACCGAGATTCAAACCAATTAAGGAGAACATTTAGATGTAGCAGTGGATAACCAATACCCAACGAGACTGTACGTGGAATATCCACGAAGCAGTGGGATCAATTATAAGCTAAATCGACGAATAATTTACAAACTGTTTATACTTCTCCGTTAATCATAACCGTTTTTATATTTCAGAGATTTGAGTGGAAACGTGATTGTGAACATTGACTCGAAGGCATTCGAGGGTCTTTCGTCTCTACGCGAATTGTAAGAGCACCGCGTAGAATACTATGGCGTTCTTTATGACAAAAGCAGCTCGGCGGTCATAACTTGCTATTCAGAATGCCTAGCGAACTCGTTAAGAAAGCCAAATCAACGTTACTTTACTGCCATCAACATTCATGGCAGCCAATTGCCGCCACTGGCTATTCATGGACGCCAATTCACCCTGGTGATTAATACGCCGCCATTTGCATTATTGTTCCGATGAATTATCCGCGTTTCTAGATGCCATGTATCTCAGGAGCATCTGTGAGAACGTTTTACGGGCGAGATCTAGATACCCTGCGCACCTAGTAGAATCCTAACTCCGTTAATGTCACTAAGAGCAGATAAAGAAGGAGAGCGTACAAGGGTAAAATGCTGAAACCATGCTGCAGTATTAGTCGAATTAATAAACTTTTCCCTTTATATTTCGACGATCCTTTGCAGTATTATTGATTAGCTGTCTCACCTTGTTCATATAAAACAAACCGCATGTCCCTACGATGCCCCTACGCTGAGATAATGAGCGGTGAAAATCTGGTATTTTCACCGAAAACCGACTCGAGATCAGTGTGAACTGCGTCCCTCACTCGAAGTGTTTCCAGTGTGTTGCTTCCGGTCGCCGCTGTGTAGCGCCATAGTGGCGCTGACTCACGTAATACTACCAGAGTTTACTATACATCCAGCGCGAGGTGGGCGTGAGGTGGGCACAGGTGGGGGTCATCACTATGGCAATCAATAACAGACGTCATTCATTCCATTTGTCAATCATTGACGGAAACACGCGAGGTTTCCCGAAGTTATAACACTTCGAGTGAGGGACGCAGTTCACACTGATCTCGAGTCGGTTTTCGGTGAAAATACCAGATTTTCACCGCTCATTATCTCAGCGTAGGGGCATCGTAGGAACATGCGGTTTGTTTTATATGAACAAGGTAAGACAGCTAATCAATAATACTGCAAAGGCTCGTCAAAATAAAACGGGAAAAGTTTATTAATTCGACTAATACTGCAGCATGGTTTCAGCATTTTACCCTTGATATCACACTATAACACACACTGCCGTATAAATATTTTGGTCGATTTTTTCCCTCTATGCGGTCAATATTACTCACACAACGTGTCAACAGTTCTCATTTTTCGAGCACTTACAGCTGTTCGTTAAACATATTTGCGCGCGTAATGGCTAGCCGAATCACGAACCAACATGCATTACCCAGCGCAGCAAGAGATCTAGTTCCTCAGATGAATGGCGTTTCGCCGACCTTACACGGGTACCGACGACGACAAATTTCTCACGTATCTCTCATATCGACGATAGCTTTGCTATCTCACAATCAAATTATGCGCGCGAGCCGCATATTATACGATGTCAACTGGGGTCGTCTCACCACTCACTCACATATAAGATGAGATCATCGCGGAGCTCAGCACTACTGCATGAGCAGCTTAACGCAAACACGATACGGGAGTCTCGCTGAAACCTAGCCCTAGTGTATGATGCGCTAAAGCTGCTTCTCTGTAATTCATCCTCGCACACCGGCACGCGAAACGTACCGACATGCATTTTTGAGGATTTCCAACTCTCCTTAACGCATTAACTGTCAGAGTGTGATGTTTGCAGCTGGTATATATATATATATATCTAATATATATATATATGTAATATATATATATATAGTATATATAATATAGATATATAGATCATGTATGTATATGTCTGTATATATGTAGTATATATGTTATAATATATATATGTAGTATAGTGTATATCAAGCGCGATGGGAGCAGAAAGCGAGAAAGGGAGAGGGAATTGTGTGTATGAGCTGTGCGTGTGTGTGTTGCCGTGCATGCGTGCGTGCGAAGCGACGCGAGCGAGCGAGCGAGGCCCAGCAAGGGTAGTGAAGTGAGTAGTGAGTGCAGTGAGTGAGTGAGTTGAGTGAAGTGGAATTGTAGTGGTAGTGTGTGCGTGCAGTGCTGTGTTGCGCGTGCGTGGCGTGCGTGGGTCGTGTGTGTGTGTGTGTGTGTGTGTGCGTGTGTTGGTGTGGATGTGTGTGGTGGTGTGTAGCTGTGTGTGAGTGATGTGTGTGTGTGTGGTGTGATGTGTGTGTGTGTGTGTGTGTGTGTGTGCTGTGTGTGACGTCGTGTGTTTGTGTGTGTGTGTAGTGTGTGTGTGATGTGTTACGTGTGTGTTTGTGTGTGGTGTGTGTGTGATGATGTGTGTGTGTGTGTGGAATGGGGTGTGTGCGTGCTGCGTGTGTGGTTTCTCTTTTTGATAAGCTGCAGATTAGAAGCGACCACCAGTTCCCTGCAGTGAATCATTTCACGATCGCTGCGTTGAATTTCTGGAAGCAGGTGCCCTTATTCCAGAGGCCGCTCGTGATCAGAAAGCGAAGAGACTACTAGCGCACCTTGAAGTTTTGGATGCTCGCCCTGCTAAATCCCATCAACACCTCGTATTTCCTCCTAAGAATGATTGCATAGTTGCGCAGAGATCGCTCGGCGTAATATTGCGCGATACGCCCATAAAACAAACCACGGCATAACCTGAGTGATATTCGAAGAGTAAGTTGGGTGCTATAAAGGAATCGCGACACCCAGTTATAACACTTGGACCGCTGTGAAAATGCCATAGGAAGAAAACTAGGATGAGGCCAAGGGTTAGCTGGAAATACGCCGAGATCAGAAAGGCGAGAAACAGTAATAT